GTCAAGGTATATTAAATGGGCTATGTCACAGATTTTGGTAAAGTTTTGCATATAACTTTGGCACTTTGAACTATAACTGAAAATCGAGAAAAAATGCATTTATCTCTTATTTTTTGAAATATCATTGAATGAATTCTTTCAAAATAGATGTATTTTTGTATAGAAATCACATAAAATCATCAAATCTTACTTCGTTTTAAAAGGTATACATCAAGATCAACCAAAGTGATGTTCTAGGTGAAAAAAATACAACAAAACTTCACAATATGGGTAGTGTCATCCTGATGTAAGCCCTATAACATCCATTTTTTTTATATATGTTTTTCACTACCAACTAGATTACAGATTGGTAAATATATAAACTAGAGGCTCTAAAGAGCCTGTGTCGCTCACCTTGGTCTATGTGCATATTCAACAAAGGACACTCTCCAACATTGTAGACGAGAATAGAATTCATTACAAAAATCTGTTTTGTTGATCTTGTATTGCTGATCATTGAGTCTGTTTAGTTTCTCTCTATCTTCTTTATTTTTTGCTCAAAACACAAAAGAGGGTAAAAAAATCCTCATTTAAGGGCAATCACTCCTCTAAAGAGTGACTGTCTACTAACTATATCGGCAAACTTTGACTTGTTAGTAGATCTTGCCTTGTTGATAATTTTTGTGATTTATTAAAGCGTCTATTTATCTATTTCAATTTTTTATCATAAACGGCAAAATGCGAAAAAAATGGTAAAATCCTCATTAAAGGGCAATAACTCCAATAAGGAGATGTCGCAAGAATTCCTCCATATTGTCTTAATTGTAGATCTTGTCTTGCTGATCATTTTTGCTTATTCAAGTTTCTATCTATTATAATTTTTAAGATATAAGACAAAAACACCAATAACTGGAAAAAAAATCGTCATCAAAGGGCAATAACTTTAGTAAGGAGTCGACTGAGGATTTCGACCATGAAAACTTATTTATAGACCTTGTCTTGCTGATCATTTTTGCATTTTCTCTCTTAAGCATCTCTCTATCTATTATATTTTTCATGATAATAGGCAAAAATGGAAAAAATGGTAAAATTTGTCATTTAAGGGCAATAACTCCTAAAAGAAGTCGTCTGACAGTTTTCACATACATGGAAAATTGGAAGAGCTCAACATTCTGAACATTTTTTCTCATGTCAGATTTTCTCTATTTATAATGGTTTTCAAAATAAGACAAAACTTGCATTTTATCCCTATTTTCTATTTTTAGCCATGTCTGCCATCTTGGTTGGCAGGCGGGGTCATCGGACACATTTTTAAACTAGATACCCCAATGATGATTGTGGCCAAATTTGGTCAAGTAGAAGATTTTTGTAAAAGTTAATGGATGACGAACGCCATGTGATGAGAAAAGCTCACTTGGCCCTTTGGGCCAGGTGTGCTAAAAATGCGATTAGTGAGACTATAGATTTAAATTTAGTAAATATACATTGTATTCAAGTATTGATAAAAATTTCAGAAAATAAGAGATAAATGCATTATTTTTTCAACTTCAGTTCAAGCTTAACATACTGCAGCTATATGCAAAATTTGTAAAAAATCTGTGACATGGCCCACTTACTGTAGCTTAAACGTAATCATATAAACAAATGTGCAGATTTAGAAGAGAGAAAAACACTACGAAACCCACAAATTAGGGACACAATGAAGATTGATAGTCATCACTTGCTTCCAAATTGTAATTTTCTTCATGTAATACTGTACCTTCCATATATATACATCCTCTTTATATATTACAGATGATTTAAGGGAAGCCTTTCGATTACAGCTATAAGTGCTAACTTAGTAACTATGGTAAAGGCTGTTCCATAAAAACATACATAGGACCCAGGGAAGGCACATACAAATCTCAACTATGGTTGGATAATGTTGTAGAGTGAAATTTTGAGAGAAATTCTAAATTTGCCTTTAACATATAGATGGTTACCCCATTTCTGAAGAGCCTTCTCTGGGTACAATGTATGTTTTAATGGAAGATTCCAAAACTAATAGATCTGTTCTTGCAATATGAAATGAAGGAAGGAAGGAAAGAAATGTCATGCTTATAAATTAAAACTTAATCTGTTCAGTGTAGTCTTTGAAAGTCATTATATCACATTGATTTATGTCCATTAAATTTTAATCAGTAAAAATTTATGTATTTAACAAGCAATTCCACCTTCCATAGTCAATGGGAGATAACTCAACTATAAATTCAACTTCAAACAGTCCAGAATTTTCTTTATATATACAATGGGGAATGGTTATTTCATATTATACAGTTTTTGCAATAAGTGTATACTTACAACTTACATGAAACAGATTTTGGTTAGAGATCTCCAGTGAAGCAACATTAGTTATTCTCTACATAAGTATCAGACACATTTTTCAATTGTAATGGGAGATGAAATATATTTTAGATTTAAGTTATTTTTTATTTCAGATTTTTTTCTCTGGTAATGTTCCATCACACATTACAAATGCATTGTATTTCTAGATTCTTACTTATGTATAATTTATTTCGCTTCACTGGACATCTCTTTAAAACAGAAGCAGAGGATACTTTAATTCAACGATTTTATGGCAGAGATGATTATGAAACACAATGCTGATAATAAAAGGAGACAGACAAGAAATCTATCAGATTTTAATAGAACAAATAAAAATGATATTTTGACATCAAATGCATAAAATTTAAATATTTGTATGTATATTATATAAAGCAGACATATATATATATATATTATGTATATAGCACGATTGCACAGGTTATTATGGCAAGTTGAACCAGTTATCTTGTTGTCTCCTTTTATTATCGTTGGCTCTTCTTACTCCTTACAAAGAAAAGAAGAAAAAACTTCTTTAAATAAAACCTTCACCAAATAAATAAATAAAGGTACTTGCAATAGTAACAAAAGATATTTTAATCATATCAATTTGGACATTTTAAAAAAAAAATTTATCAGGTATTTCCAATCCTCCCATAACTTGTAAATAAATCTACATCACCATTTTCTGTGATTGTGAATTAGTGACAATTGTGTCACAAAATAACTATAGAAATTAATAAGTTCTTCAATTTGTATTAATATTCTTATATATCAAGCCTCAGAAGATATGCAAAACTAATGAAGTATACCTTCAAATAAAATTCTGACAAATGTACTAAAAAAACAAAATCAGTGGAAAATCCTAATTATGGTTTTAAAACAATACAGAGGTTTTCCTAAAGTTTGGATTCTTGTCATGTTCAATTGTTCAATTCTAACCAATTGTAATATGTATCTAGAAATGTTGAAATTCAACTCAAACTATATTTTTATCTGACAATGCCATATTGAACATACATTTTTGCCTCATGTATGTAGAATATTTTTTTAATGCCAATTTACTGAAACGTAGGTAATAACCATTGCACTTAATGCTTTATCAAAGAATATTTGAAGGTGATACAGTGTTGCATTTCTTATGATGGTCATTATTTATTATATTTATTTTATAACTATTGATTGTTATCATGTATACTTCAATAAGTTAAGTTCAGCAAATTACTTGTTTATATATATTGTGTATCAAATTCCACTATTAGGTTATTCTAGATGATTTGAATGTCTTGCTCAAGGCATGAGGAGTTTTTGGAATAAAAAACAATTTCATGATTTTTTCACCTTAAAATTTCCATTTCATAGTCTTTCAGAAACAAGGTAATAAAAGTTTGCTCCCAACTTTCAGCTGTCATTAAACAATTTTCAGTTTACACTATAAAAACTAGAAATGAGAAACTCCAAACTGGAGTTATAAAAGTAAAGGTTGCTCCTTTATAATAATAATATTGATTACAAATAAAACTCATAAATTAATCAACTTACATCTGGAATAACCTAATGAGATTTTTTGAGCATCATTAATTTCAATAACTGGGGAAAATATTATTGAAATATTTCCCTTTGTACAGAATCATATTAATATTTATATTAAGGAGAGGAATACAGATAAATGAAATTCCTACAACCTGTTTGTCATAGGTCAATTTTCTGTAAGTCAAACTGATTTATTTCATGTTAGCAGATAAAACATTCCTTCATGGTACAGCATGAATGCACATTGTCATAGACTGACCGTCAAAATACTACAATTTCAACATGTAAGGAAGAAAAAATTCAGGCTAGCAATCTTAAAAAAAGCTAAGTCAAAATCAAACTTAATCATGCCTTTGCTGGACTTTTATACATTCCTAAATCAATTTCATGCATGCAAAAATTAAATAAAATGCAACTCAAAACAAAAATATGTGAAGCAAAAACAAAAGGTCATAAATAGTGGAACTACTAATATAAAAATCTGAGAACTCATGCAAAAAGTTTATGATTTTGATTCAATGTAAATTCTAAATCTAAAATTCCAACATGCAATAAAATCTTTTACGTATTTGAAATAAAACCATTTGTTTACCATTATGAACTAGTGTGCAACAGATAGTAACACCCTTAACAGATCATTTTGGACCTATGACAGACAGACAAACTAGTGTACAGTTAAATGAAGAGAGATTTAAAATTTCTTTTGCCAGAAAATCAATATTTTACTAAATCTCCTATCTCTAAAGCAAGATGCCATGCTTCTGTTAAGTGTCTGAAAAACGTATTTAAATTTGACATGCTTGAAAAGTTTTAAGTGTTTGAAAATGTGTTTAAATTTGACATGCTTTGATATCAAAATAACTTTGTTATATAGCAAAATAGTGTTATCTAGTATTCATAATATTTTGTTCTGTAGGTTGAAAGAAGAAATATATTTCATAATTATCCGTTTCCGAGATATCAAATAGGGACATGCTGACAATAGATATCAAGTCATAACCAATAGCTTACAAAGTTTTTACTTCACACAAAAACTAAACACTTATTTCATTGCTGCAGAAGATATCTCAAGCTCTACTAAGTTCCAATGAAAATCAATCGAAGAATCCTTACAACAATGATCTTACCTTGGAAGGTCCTCGTAACTGTGTGTATTTGGTTTACCAGGAGGTGTAGGAGGTGAATGTGAGGCAGTCCTGTTATCAGGACTTGATGTTGGAGCAACTACAGCAATGTTATCTTTCCTTGGTGCTGCAATAATACAAAACCAATTTTTAACATTTTAGGGATTTCAGAGAGACAGACACCATTTAACTAAGCATTACACTGACCATATTCAGATCAGGATCTTGTATTTTCAAACTGTAAGACAAGCATGAATATTCATAATCTCTTTTTGAGAAATGGAATTGTTTAAAACTTTAAATATATATTTAAATAAACAGAGCCCAGCTGGATACAACCGCAGAGGTCCAACCCTGAACAGTTGGGGCAAAAATGGACGCAATATTCGTGCTTGATACAGGTCTGAATTTGGATTGTAATTAAATAATTGACACATAAAAGGTTTCTGACACAGAATAAATGTAGTCAAAGAACTTAGAATTGGTTATAAGATTTGAATTTATATTCAAGTTTTTGCTTTTGTGCAATACACTTTGCTGTTGCGAATTGACCCCTCCCCCCACAAAAAAAAAATCAAAAATTTACCCCCCCCCCCCTTTTTTTTTTTTGCTTTTGTGCAATACGCTATGCTGTTGCGTATTAACACCCCCCCCCCCCCCCCCCCCCACACACACTTTTTTTTTTAAAATAATAGAAAATTTTTCTTTTTAATTTCTGAAATCTCAAATGAGAAAAAATTGACCCCCCACAATTTCTTTTTACCCCCCCCCACTTTTTTCCCCAAAAAAAGTCTTTTCCTCAAGATATGGTCATAATCTAAATTCAAATTTCCAATGGAGTTTGCAACCATAATTACCCATTTAAATTTACCATAGTGCTAACTTAATCTATTTTATAATAGAATTTAAAATATGGTGTCAAATCTTTCATATGGATTTTTTTGTAAAAAAAAAAAAGATGCAACATTTGCAGATATTTTTACTGGTCTTCCTTAATAAATATGCATTTCTTCAAACATAATTTAAAAGTAGTGTAAGGAAGGTACGGTAATCAAAACGTATTTGGATTACCTCCCTTACACTGCTTTTAAATTGTCTTGATTGTTCATTAACCATTAATTTATACATAATTTAAAAGCAGTGTTAGGGAGGTAATTCAAATGATGTAAACCAATGTGTCTTCGGACGACGACGACACCAACGTCATACCAATATACGACTGCAAAAATTTTTTGCGGTCGTATAAAAATATACTACAATTATTGACTTAATCTGTGATTTTTGCATTGATAGATACTTCTACACAAATATGTAAAGTTCAAGGGATTGTACTTGAACTGGATATCACTGCAAAATTATCAAATTTTACACTGTATTATGAAATGGAAAGCATGAATGGGAATCTTTGTTTACTTATTCCTTGAAAGCAATTTATCTCCATATTGTCCCCAAAAGTTCAATTTCTGTAAATGACTTGTTCAACAAAGAATGATTTGCCCCTATGTAATGTTTCTAAAATTGTAAAAAAAAATAACTCTTCTTTCATGATGGTAAGTATGGTGATCTGTATTTTGATATTTGAATGTATATACATGTAAATTATCTTCTAAGAAAATTTAAGAAAACTCTATGGTATATTAATTTTGTTGTCTATCCTCCTAAAATATCTTATTGTCCATCAATTACTTGCAAGTGTAAATAGTTGGTAAAATAAAACCATATTATAAAACAGTAAAAAATTCTTCTATTCAAAGTAACATTTCAAATAATTTTCTCAAGCTTAACTGGAAAATTCATAATTTGACAAAAAATTGAAAATGATGCAGTGAATTTTCTAAATAATCCAAACATAACTATTTCTTCTCAGGTGAAATTGAATGTGTTTAAGTGGAAAGAAACTGCATATAAAGATTACTCTATGTCCGTTATATAACAGAATTTAAATAATAACTGATTACTGTAAAGAAATTTTTGTGTGCATTAATTTTTGTGATTGTTGAATAATGGACCATAATGCTAGATTAATTATCATGTTGTCAGGAAGAGTTGCATACAAATAATAGCATCAAAATTTTAATTTTTTTTTTAAATATTGTGAAACCAATCCCTTCACACTTTTTCACAATAATAAAAAAATTCAGAATCTTAATGGGGCAATAGCTCTCAAATTCATGTTTAACAATTCGACTCAAAACTTTCATGTTTTATTAATAACATACTAAAACATCTATCCAAATTACAAAAAGTCCTAAAGAAACAATTTACAATGCATGGATTTGTTTAAAGGCATCAACATTTCGTGTATATTTTAGAATAGTCCCAATCTAATTAACCATCAAGATGATTTGCAAAGAATTGCATAGGTCATACGACCTGATGTAAACATAAATATAAATACTCAGGAAAGTATGTGCAATCGTATGATGACACTTTTTCTAGGTCTGTATGATTTCATGGCTTAGATTAAAATAAAACATAAATCATTGTTTTACCTGTACTTGAATAATTTTTCTTTGGGTAGAATCAAGTCAAAGAAAGGATATTTTACATGAGAAAGACCATTCAATAATAACATGACCAATTTTCAGTTTTCTTTCTTGACAGTAATAAGTTGTAACATGTGAGCAGTTTTGGATCGTGGGACACCTACTTCCTGTTTGCCAATGCTTTAAATTTATCTGAATATCAATGAACGTAAACTGAACCAACCATGAAACCATGAAATGAGGTAATGATCAGTTGAAACCTATTTGATGGACATGTATATGCAATGATTCTTTATACCAATAAACAGCTGCGCCATGAGCGCATGATACGCCCGTCGTCTTGTGTGTGAATTTTTATGCAATAAGCATAAATAGTTTCTGACATACGGCGTGACATGCGAAAAACCCCCCTTTTTTTTTTACAAAAAACTCAATATCTCTAAAATAAAATTTTGAATCAAAACCAAAAAGTATACAGATCTTTAGATTAATATAACTAAGAAGTGTGTAAAATTTTAAGCAATAATCATACATCGTTTTTGAGATACGGCGCGACATGTGAAAACCCCCCCTTTGAAAAAAAAAAAAATCAACATCTCAAAAATAAAATTTTGAATCAAAACCAAAAAGTATACAGATCTTTAGATTAAGATAACTAAGAAGTGTGTAAAATTTTAAGCAATAATCATAAATCTTTTTTGAGATACGGCGAGATATGTGAAAAACCCCTCCCCCTTTTTTACAAAATACTCAATAACTCAAAAATAAAATTTTGAATCATCACCAAAAAGTATACAGATCTTAAGGTTAATATAACTAAGAAGTGTGTAAAGTTTTAAGCAATAATCATAAACTGTTTTTGAGATACGGCGTGACATGTGAAAAACTCCTCCCCCTTTTTTAACAAAATACTCAATATCTCTAAAATAAAATTTTGAATCATCACCAAAAAGTATACAGATCTTAAGATTAATATAACTAAGAAGTGTGTAAAGTTTTAAGCAATAATCAGAAATTGTTTTTGAGATACAGCGCGACATGTGAAAAAAAACACACACCTGTTTTAGTTACTAAGTCCCATAACTCAAAAAGTTTTAATCTTATTTTCACCAAAAAGTATACAGATCGTTTGACCATCATAAGAAACAACTATGTTAAGTTTCATGAAATTTGGATATGTCATTCTCAAGTTACGGTGCGACATGTTTACGCCGGACAGACAGACGGACAGACAGACAGACGGACGGAGGACATTTGTATACCATAATACGTCCCATCAAAAATTTGATGGGCGTATAAAAACAGCTAAAACATTTCTTACAATAATTTAGGTGAGAATAGATATAAGGCAGACATAAACTAGACCATAAGGCATTGTTATAGAAGATATGAATTATCCAGCTCTTCTATAGCTTTATACAAACGTCTACACAGGACTAAAACAAAGGCAAGCTTATTGCAGGAAAGACAAAATCTGTTTTCATTAATAATAAAAAACCAATAACATTGAGTTTTCAAATAACACCTTAGATTCATTAAAAGGAACAATGCAACATATAAAAGGATAATGTGTCATATCTGACAACCTTACAATTTTAATCTGAAGTCACAATTCCAAAATGAGGTGCTGCAAAATGGTTAGAATGACAGTTCTGACAGAGAGTAGTAGCTCGTTACTTACTGGGTGGAGATTGTTCTTCTGTAGGCTCAGGCTGATAAGATGGCTTGGCTACTGTTAATCGTACAACTTCAGCTGTTGCCTTCAATGCTGCCACTGCATCTTCATGTGTGACATTGTCTAAGTTTGAATTATTTACCTGAAATCATACAATTCTTCTTATTTTGAATCATAGTGACAAATTTATGTTTATATGCCAAATCATTTGTCTGTTTTTTGTCAAGTGTTGTATCAGGCTGGTTAAGAAATAGTTTCTAGCAAAAAATCTGAGAGGGCTTAAAAGTTTTATGCAAGAGAGTACATGCTGAAATGTCTCACCTGCTTTACTGATCATAATTGAATTTTCTGTTGAAATTCATTAAGACTAAAGTTTCACTACAGGTATCACATGAACTTGACCCCTGCCAGAAGGACATGTACACCTTGTAATCATTTCATACACAAAATATATTTGACCTATTGCTTTGAGTATTTTAGAAGTGGACCTAACTAAAAAAACTTGTCCTTATTATCCCGATTTTCTACCTTCTGAAATATATACCTTTATACAAGCGTTAACACAGAACTAAACCATTGGCAAATCTGTTGCAAGCCATACAAAACTGTATTTGGTAATGAAAGTACAACAAAAGAACAGAGTTCCACATATTTTATCTATCCAAGGCACAAGAGTAATAACTAAAAAAAGCACTTTTTTTTTGTTCTTTAAAACTTTTTATTAATATCTTAGAGAAATGAAGGCTTTAGAGCAAATGCAATGTGATTTCCATTATGATTAATATTTCCAAGGGCACAACTCTTTAAAACTATTTGATCAGAACTTATTTTCGAAAGTGTCAAAGACATTGCTGATATAAACCTATGATATAAGTTTCATAAAAATCTGACAAGAACAGAACACATGAGAGAACTTACAATGCAATTTTCCATATAATCAATATTTCCGAGGAGCATAGCTCTTTTAAAAATAAACAATAGGCACTGATTTTTTAACTCGTCCAAGAAATTGCTAATATAAACCTATGATATAAGTTTCAATAAAACTGGCAAGAATTATACACATGAGAGCGCTAACAATGCAATTTTCTATATAATTAATGTTTCCAAGGGGCACAACTCTTTTAAAAATACTTTATCGGCACTGATTTTCAAACTTGTCCAAGACATTTCCGATATAAACCTATGATATAAGTTTCATAAAAATCTGGCAAGAATTGTACACGTGAGAGCGCTAACAAGACCGGATAGACGGACGTCGATATTTCTATGTCCCCCGCAACGCGTTGCAGGGGTGACAAAAAAAGCTTTTGACCAATAAGTAATGAATATGAGGTCAAGGTCAGATGAACCCTTCCAGAAGGACATATACACCTTACAATCATTCCATTAACCACATTTAGTTGACCAACTACTTATAGTATCCGAGAAATGGACCCAATCACGTAACTTTAACCTTGATCATTGATCCATGAAATGAGGTTGAGGTCAGGTGAACCCTGTCTGACAGAAATGTAGCCATATACCAAATATAGTTATCCTATTACTCATAAGTGAGAAATTCACATGAAATATTCGCTGAACCATAAAAATGAGGTCAAGCACAATGGACATATGACAGAAGGAAACTTCTAAAAATAAGGCATCTGTATACAATGTATTAAGCCTCAAGGTCCTCTATCCTCTGAAATACAAAGATTAATACAAATAGTTTACGCCGCTGCTGACACCTGATTGTAATCACTATGTCTCACATTCTGCCACTTTCATAGCAGGCAAGACAAAAAGTAACCTCTAATAATTACAGCTTTGAGTTTGTCACCAGCAGTCAAACAGCCATTTTGTTCATTATATGTAATTGTTAGTATGAAAGTAACCCCAAATAATTACAGCTTTGAGTTTGTCACCAATGGTCAGACAGCCATCTTGTTCATTATATGTAATTGTGATTATAAAAGTAACCCCTAATAATTACAGTTTTGAGTTTGTCACCAGTAGTCAGATGGCCATCTTGTTCATGATATGTAATCATAATTATATATTTAACCTAATAATTACAGCTACGAGTCTGTCACCAGTAGTCAGATGGCCACCTTGTTCATTATATGTAATTGTAATCATAAAAGTAACCCCTAATAATTACAGCTATGAGTCTGTCACCAGTAGTCAGATGGCCACCTTGTTCATTATATGTAATTGTAATCATAAAAGTAACCCCTAATAATTACAGCTATGAGTCTGTCACCAGTTGTCAGACGGCCATCTTGTTCAGCAGCTCCACCTTCAATAATCTTTGTTACAAAAATTCCATTGTCACCAGGGATGTGCTGATTACCAATTCCACCAGCAATACTAAAACCAAGACCTACAACATATATTCTTATTATCAATTTATTTAATGCTTCATCTCAGCTTTCATCACATTATATAAATTGGAATTACATAATTTCTGTTCCAATAAAGAGCACTAGAAACACAACTAGTTTATAACCTTACTTCATCCTTCAAGAAACAATCAATCTATGTGTTTATTGTTGTTTAAAGACATAACATGAAATCTCAATTGGATTTGATCATTAACCTTGACTGCCATGTTCCTTTCATAAAAATAATTTTTTTTAACATATATATATATATATAAGATGTAACAAATAGATCTTTATAATAATTAAATACCAAACAGAAAACAATAAACTTGCGAAAAAGATGGTATACCGCAAACAAAAGGTGCAAAAATTTTTAGTACACCAAATCCGGATTTCGACAATTAATGTCTCTTCAGTGATGTTAGGGATAGAAACGGTATTTGGAAGGCCATATAATTTACCTCAATGACTCTTGAATTTTAAAGAATCGAAATAGGATGAAGGGATCATATAAACCCGAAGGAAAATATAATACAAGCCCAAACGAAAAAATATAAACAAGTCTAAATTGAAAACAACGTTCAAACCTATGATTGCGTTGATATATATATATATATATATATCATGACTATTAAGTTATTTCTTCTGTAAACTGTATAATGGTAGTCCCTAGTGATGCAATGGTTATGCAGATGAACTAGTTGATGAATATGCTGATTAAAAACAAGTACAGTTTCATTTTATTGATCAGATATGATCAAGGCCAGGATATCTCAGTTCAGGCTGATATCCAGTTTAAATTAATCATAATTATTAGAGAAGGTAAAAATGGTCAAGTTGGTATATTTGAATTGTTTACATTTGTTTCTATGGGACTTAAAAATTTGATGTAGGTGCATGATTTAGAATTTTTTGGCATCTTATACGTGTTTATACTTAAAAATACCGGTAGTATGGAGCTTTGAAATATTTGTAAACTTTCAAATTAAAGACAAACTTTCACAAAACAGGTGATTAAGGTAGGTTCAAATACATGTGGATCTTTTTTGTGCATCGATAAATTCCACAGAAAAAAAATCCACAGAAAGATAAAAGATTGATCTTTTAAATCATTAATTTGCATCTCTGCCCCGGTAACAGTTTTTTTGGAAACAATCCTTAAAGTTTGCAATAATGTCATCAAAAAAAGAAAGTTGGGTACGCCTTTTTAGGTTCAGGCGTGTTTGAGCTAACTGTTTTGTCTTGAAAACGTATATAATTTTAGCAAAAATATTTGATAGCTCAATTGACAGCTTATCATCCCTAGTCAATGGCTTCCATTTTCACAATTGAAAAATTAGGTGGTGTAATGGGCAGATAATTTTGACTAAGTAGAATCCTGCCTAAGTTCACACATAAATAAGACCTACTTTTTTTATATGAAAAGTTTATTGTGCTGAAAAGACTATCCTATTATAATATTTTTTTCAATCAACAATTTAAAACATCTTTTTTTTTTTAAATTGATACAAGATAAGTCAATGATTGGTGTAGTGCAGAAACAAATAGGTAATCAATAGAAAAGATAGAAGTTTCATGATCCTGGGACAAAATATCTTAAATCTTGGGTCCTGAAAAGGTTTCCGTTTCCAAATACATCTAAGGGTAATACTGTTTTATGCTACAAGGCTGCAATATTATGTTATTACTTTAGAGTGCATTGTTCAGTGGCTCATTTAACTGCATTACAAGTACATTTCTGGATCAATCTTCCAGGGCTAACATTACTTCAGAATCATAGGGAGAAGTGACTTCTCTTTTTGAAACTGAGAGGTAGAAGTGGTGAGATTTGAAAGAGAAGTGCTACAATATTTGGTTTTTACTATAATACAAAGGGCCAAATGTATCTTATTTTTTTCATATTGTTCAATTTGTACCTGGGTATACAATTAAAGTAACAGTTCAAATTCAAAGTTGTTTAATTTTATCATATCTAGTTGCACAATCATATTAGTCCTCTTGTCAGAAAAAAACAATTAAATATCTGGCAATAATAAAAAAGATTTTTTTTTATATCAAAAAGGAAAAGAAAGTTGTTATATCAATTAAAATTCAATTTAAAACTACTCTGTTATCATGTTAATGAAATTAAGTATTTCTCAATTAAAAGATATATAAATTTAACACAGTTAAGCTTGGACATAATATAATTATATTAGTGTAATAGTCCCAGAGTTGAGCAACTTTGATTTATAAATTGAAACAATGCATATACATGGAAATATATACATTAATCAAGTAGATCTAACCTAAAGTATGTTAATGCTTGTGGAATGCGTAATTTTTCCTTTTGGGATCAGTTTTCTTCTGACACGTTATTTGGAAAGGAATATGACGTTTTTAATGCAATATATGGATAACAAATTTACTTCAGGCAAATTTCATCACGTTCTAATGAAGTAACAAACTTATTTTGCCGAAAGTTAGAATGATTTGATGAACGCTCTTGAGTAACAAGTACCGAAAGTGATAAAAAAAATGTCTCTATGGAAATAACATGCAACCAACTTTAAAATGCTGTAACCTCTTTTCTAAAGAAAATAAATTGTTTTTGTCTTTGAATTTCTTTACTTTTAAATGAAAAATTGCTGTTTTATCGACTTGGTAAATAACGAATATTGCCGATGACGAAAGCGACTGAAAGCAAGTATCGTGAACAACAGGGCGACTAGTTTTCCCTTTTACACGGTCAGGCAAAGCGAAGTGACGGACGCGAAAGCAAATCTTTTTTTTTGGTTCTTTTCTTACATTTTAGGCTTATTAAAATACTCTCAAAGTTGTTGATCTTGCAGTATGGTTCCTGTCTATTTTCAAGTTTAATAAATGGGGAATGTGTCCATGGGACACAGAAGATGCCCACGCTTGCATATAATATTATAAAGGGACGTAACTCAAGGACTGTAAAAGTGAAGCTACCAAGATTTGTACTTGATCTGAGTTTTGTGGTAATAAGCATTGTGTATATGTTTGATAACATTTAGTAGAGGCAAACTTAAGTTAGAGAACAGAAACGAAAAATCCAGCAATTTTTTTTCATTTGTATAGGGGCACAACTCTAGAACGGTAAAAGTGAAGCCACCGAAATTTGAAATTGATCTGGGTTTTGTGGTAATTAGCTTTGTGCATAAGTTTCATAACATTTGGATGAGGCAAACTAAAGTAAGAGAACGGAAACAAAAAATTCAGCAATTTTTCCATTTATAAAGGGGCATAACTCTAGAACAGTAAAAGTGACGCCTTCAAAATTTAAATTTAAATCTGTGTTTTGTGGTAATAAGCATTGTGTATAAGTTTCATAACATTTGGTTGAGGCAAACTAAAGTTAGAGAACGGAAACTAATTATTGGGACATACAGACGTACAAGGGTAAAACTTAATGCCCTCACCGCTACGGCGGGGGCATAAAAAAAGAGAAGTTTCCTAATGTGAAACTAGAATAGCTATTTATTTCCTCTGACTAATTTCAGTTCAATGATATTTTAGTTCTGTAATGTTTAGTTATTATAACCTTTATTTCCTTTGACTAATTCTAGTTCAATGATATTTTAGTTGTGTAATATTTAGTTATTATTACCTTTATTTCCTCTGACTAATTCTAGTTCAATGATATTTTAGTTGTGTAATATTTAGTTATTATTACCTTTATTTCCTTTGACTAATTCTTGTTCAATGATATTTTAGTTGTGTAATATCTAGTTATTATTACCTTTATTTCCTTTGACTAATTCTAGTTCAATGATATTTTCAGCAGGTGCTCTCAATCTCTTTACATACTGCAAAAGAAAAGAAAAACAACTTCACATCAAATAAAATGCATCTCACTTCAACGAAATATATGAAATCTAACATACAATTCTTAATTGTTCATAGTCTTACATGAACTTCCAAGAGATATAAGTCTAGAATAACTAATCCAAGAATTTAAATAAGGAAAATTATTCAACAAGTGACCAAACAACATATTAATTCACAAATGTGAGAAGTGCATGAGTTAATTATCACTTTTGTCTGGCCATGCATGAGTTGAATATTTTTTTATATTCAATTCTTGGATTAATTATTCTTTTCATTACATTGACTTTCATTGTGAATAAAGTAGAAAATGCAAGGAAGTCTATCTAACATTTACAACATCTTGACAACTTGTTAGCATATCTACACAAAATGCCTTATTAATATACAGTTAATATGTCTACTGTAGCTGATTTAGGATTTTAGTCTTGTCTAGCATATTGTATACATATAATATATATGATATGTAAACAGCATATAACCATATTATTTCAATCCATACTGCACTGTCAATGTCATAATGCTCATCAAAATCAAAAACATCAGCAATAAATGTACTTTTTTCATATAACTTTTGATAAAATTTTAAAGCTTTCTTTTGAGGCCATAATGTTTAAAATATTCTTGGGTATCATGTTGTGTAGGTGTCTAATTGACAGTTATCCTTTATTTCCTTTTTTTTATTTCTGGTTATTTTAGCTTGCAATAGTTTTATCAAGTAAACAATGTAATACATTACATGGAATTTAAAAAAAATGTAAAATGTATATTGTTCTTTTGTTAGGCTCATATAGGCAGGTTACACAATTTTTTGTACATTTGTTTGAGAAATTTAGTATAAATGATAAAGAAAACTATAATGCACGAGAAAAATGAATGGAACTTCCCCACTTCCCAATAAAGGGGAAGAGCTTATACTATCATTCTTATTTCAATAATTTTGGTCTATTTTAGTATAACTATGAACTTGACCTTAGAAGTAGTTGTAAAAATAAATAGGTATCTTCCTGAAAATCTCTCTCATATACTTGTAGATACATTGTCATTTTAATTTAAGGTTCTTTGTTTTGGTATTCCCAATTGGTTTTTTGTTTGGTCTCTCCAAACTTGATTTTTAGTAAACATTTAAGATGAAGCTTATTCTGGAAACTTGTAGTGTGCATGGCAATTGTAATCATACATTTATATTTCAATTTAGGCTTTGAATGTAAGCATCATAAAACTGTATGACTAGCACTGGTATATAATGATACAACTATTTAGGGGTCAAAATTATACAGCACTAAAAATGCTTCATCTTTGTCATTTGAACTATGGTGTATAGTTGTCTCATTGGCAATCATGAAAATGTTTTTGTATGTCTATGAGGGCCAGATAATATTTATTAAAATTGAAATAATAATAAATACCAGAACTACTCCTAGTTCCAGTTGGTTTTAAAGCATTGACATGATAATACATACCAGAACTACTGTAGTTCCAGTTGGTTATAAATCATTGACATGATAATACATACAAGAACTACTCAAGTTCCAGTTGGTTTTGAAGCATTGACATACTAATACATACCAGAACTACTCTAGTTCCAGTTGGTTTTAAAGCATTGACATGATAATACATACCAGAACTACTCTAGTTCCAGTTGGTTTTAAAGCATTGACATGATAATAAATACCAGAATTACTCTAGTTCCAGTTGGTTTTAAAGCATTGACATACTTATATATACCAGAACTACTCTACTTCCAGTTGGTTTTAAAGCATTGACATGATAATACATACCAGAACTACTCTACTGCCAGTTGGTTTTAAAGCATTGACATGATAATACATACCAGAACTACTGTAGTTCCAGTTGGTTATAAATCATTGACATGATAACACATACCAGAACTACTCAAGTTCCAGTTGGTTTTAAAGCATTGACATGCTAATACATACCAGAACTACTCTAGTTCCAGCTTGTTTTAAAGCATTGACATGATAATACATACCAGAACTACTCTTGTTCCAGTTGGTTTTAAAGCATTGACATGATAATACATACCAGAACTACTCTGGTTCCAGCTGGTTTTAAAGCATTGATATACTAATACATACCAGAACTACTCTAGTTCCAGCTTGTTTTAAAGCATTGACATACTAATACATACCAGAACTACTCTAGTTCCAGTTGGTTATACAGCATTGACATGATAATACATACCAGAACTACTCTAGTTCCAGTTGGTTTTAAAGCATTGAAATGATAATACATACCAGAACTACTCTACTTCCAGTTGGTTTTAAAGCATTGATATGATAATACATACCAGAATTACTCTAGTTCCAGTTGGTTTTAAAGCATTGACATACTAAACTATACCAGAACTACTCTACTTCCAGTTGGTTTTAAAGCATTGACATGATAATACATACCAGAACTACTCTACTTCCAGCTTGTTTTAAAGCATTGACATACTAATACATACCAGAACTACTCTAGTTCCAGTTGGTTATACAGCATTGACATGATAAAACATACCAGAACTACTCTAGTTCCAGTTGGTTTTAAAGCATTGACATGATAACACATACCAGAACTACTCTAGTTCCAGTTGGTTTTAAAGCATTGACATGATAATACATACCAGAACTACTCTAGTTCCAGTTGGTTTTAAAGCATTGATATACTAATACATACCAGAACTACTCTAGTTCCAGCTTGTTTTAAAGCATTGACATACTAATACATATCAGAACTTCTCTAGTTCCAGCTTGTTTTAAAGCATTGACATACTAATACATACCAGAACTACTCTAGTTCCAGCTTGTTTTAAAGCATAAACATACTAATACATACCAGAACTACTCTAGTTCCAGCTTGTTTTAAAGCATAAACATACTAATACATACCAGAACTACTCTAGTTCCAGCTTGTTTTAAAGCATTGACATACTAATACATACCAGAACTAATCTAGTTCCAGTTGGTTTTAAAGCATTGACATGATAATACATACAAGAACTACTCTAGTTCCAGCTTGTTTTAAAGCACTGACATACTAATACATACCAGAACTACTCTAGTTCCAGCTTGTTTTAAAGCATTAACATACTAATACATACCAGAACTACTCTAGTTCCAGCTTGTTTTAAAGCATCAACAGCTTCTGAATGTGTAGCACTAGATACATCTGTGTCATTTACTTTCACTATAACATCATTCATTCTAAAATACAAATAAGAAATAAAATATAATAAGAATAAAACAAACAATTTTTCCATCTATTTGTTTCTCAATTAAATAACCTGTACAGTTTTTCTGCTGTCCTTAGGACAAAGATATGATTTTGAGGTATCTCAATGTAACTTCTTTCTAAAAAGGATCTTTAGGTGGTTTCTGTCATAAATATTCTAGGATTCAGGATTTAACAAAGCTAGACAGAAGATGCCATAAGGTTACAAGTACTGATGTGTGTGTTTGAAATCTGTTAATATGCTTTTGTATTTCAAGTTTATCTTCCCTTCATATCAACTGTTTTCTAATGTTGGCACTTATCTACCTTAACCCTATTTTGATAAAAAAAAAATATTTGCATACCATTCTTTTTTTGTTTTTGTGGATGCTTTCATAAATTAAGTTTCATACTAAAGGTCCATCTATTTCACATAAAACTTCCTTAAAATCCTAAACTGTATCCATGATCACTGAACCACAATATATAGGTCCCTGAAGATTAATTCTTATAAAGATCACTTCTTGATATAAACATTCATGATTAAAACTTTATTAAATAAATGTGGATAGTGTCCACATGTGGACACAGATGATGCCCCCGCATGCATATCATATAGTTATAAAGGGACATAACTGAAGAACGGTAAAAGTGACGCTACCCAAATTTGAACTTGATCCTAGTTTTGTGGTAATAAGCATAGTGTGTAAGTCTCATAACATTTGGTTGAGGCTAACTAAAGTTAGAAAACGGAAACAAAAAGTTTGTACTTCATCTTAGTTTAGTGGTAATGAATATTGTGTATAGGTTTCATTATGTTTGGTTGGGGCAAACTTAAGTTACAGAATGGAAACTAAAAATTTAGCAATCTTTCAATTTATAAAGGGGCATAACTCAATAATGATTAAAGTGACACTACCCAAATTCAACTTGATCTGTGTTTTATCAGTGGAAGTCAAAATTAAACATTGCATTGTATAAAGCATTGATTTTAGTTGATTCAACTATAATCATGGACAAAGAAAGATAACTCCAATTTTAAAAATTACTTGGTGTTTAAAAGAAAATAAAAATTTTGCAATTTTCCCATTTCTAAAGGGGCATAACTCTAGAATGGTTAAAGTGACACCACCAAAATTCAAACTTGATCTGTGTTTTGTGGTAATAAGCATTGTGTATAAGTTTCATAACATTTGGTTGTGGCAAACTAAAGTTAGAGAACGAAAACCAATTTTGGGACGTACGTACGTACGTACAGACGGACAAGGGTAAAGTTAATGCCCCCTCCGCTACGGAGGGGGCATAAAAAAAGAAAAAAATATTTTCTAAAGTGCTTCCAATCTTTATTCCCTGCCCCCACACACAGGAGGAGACATGTCTGTTTTTGACCACTAACCAATACACTGAATTCACATGCACATCAAGAATTGCTTCTCCTCTTGCTGGACCTGATATCATGAATGGTGGGAGTTCATTTAGTTAACGCTTAACTTATTTTTCTTTTTTTTTTTGTATGCATGTTTTCTGTTAGTGTTGTCTATGCTTGTTTGAAACTTGCTGTAAACCTGCTAATATTCATAAGTGATCCTGTACGCAATTTGCCAGAAGAAAAATAATGTGAATATAAATTGTCACAGTGGTGAATATTTCAAATGTGGATTGTATGGATTGAATGAACATATCTACAAAGTTAGAAAAACATGAAAAAATTGTGAATAAATTGCTTCGCCGAGCGCAGCTGGATACTGCCACAGAGGTCCACCCTGAACAGTTGGGGCAAAAATGGATGCAATATTCGTGCTTGATACAGGATTGAATTTGGATTGTAATTAAATATTTGACACATAAAAGGTTTCTGACACAGAATAACTGTAGTCAAAGAACTTAGAATTGGTTATATGATTTGAATTTATATTCAAGTTTTTGCTTTTGTGCAATAAACTTTACTGTTGCGAATTGACCCCCCTCCCCCCACAAAAAAAAAAAAAAAATTTACCTCCCCCTATGCTGTTGCGAATACATCCCCCCAAAATTATATTTGAAGAATTTTTCTTTTTAATTTCTGAAATCTGAAATGAGAAAAAATTGACCCCCCACAATTTCTTTTAACCCCCCAAAAAATTCTTTCCCTCAAGATATGGTCATAATCTCAATTCAAATTTCCAATGGAGTTTGCAACCGTAATTACCCATTTAAATTTACCATAGTGCTAACTTAATCTATTTTATAATAGAATTTAAAATATGGTGTCAAATCTTTCATATGGATTTTTTTGTAAAAAAAAAGATGCAACATTTGCAGATATTTTTACTGGTCTTTCTTTATAAATATGCATTTCTTTAAACATAATTTAAAAGCTGTGTAAGGGAAGTAATCAAAACATTGTATTTGGATTACCTCCCTTACACTGCTTTTAAATTGTCTTAATTGTTCATTAACCATTACTTTATAAATAATTTAAAAGCAGTGTAAGGGAGGTAATTCAAATGATGTATTTGAATTATCTCCCTTACACTGCTTTAAATTATGTTTTGTACTAAAGTATTTGTCCATTAACCAGGACACCCTTGTTTTTCCCCTAATTCCTAAATGGTTTGAGCCATAACCCCCCAAAGCTAATCCTAACCATCCCTTTGTGGTATGGAAACTTGTGGTATAAATTCAGAGAGATCCATACACCATTCCACAAGTTATTGTCTGGAAACTAGAAAAATGCTTATTTTTGGTCCCTTTTTGGCCCCTAATTCCTTAACTGTTGGTACCATAACCCCCAAAATCAATCCCAACCTTCCTTTTGTGGTATTGAACCTTATGGTAAAATTTCATAGAGATCCATTCACTTAAACTAAAGTTATTGTGCGAAATCCAATGTGTCTTCGGACAACGACGATGTCGATGATGACGCCAACGTCATACCAATATATGACAATTTTTGCGGTCATATAAAAAGTCAGCGCTTAAGCACAAATCAGAAAAAAAGTTTGCCACAAAAATAAGTAGGTTTACAGTTTTGATTAAGATCGCCATGTTTAAGTTTGGTCAATTGGATTTCAGAAATGTTATAGAAAATACAGGATCACGCCTGATTAAAAGCTTTAACAAGGTGTAAATTTCACCAAAAGCTGTTTTTCTTGTTCAAATGTTATTATCTTTTGAGAAGAATTAAAATTTTCAATATTTTTCAATATAATGTCAATAACTGAAATAACATTAACTGATTTCAGACTTAATATTAGATAGCTGAATACTTCATATACACACACAAGTGTCATTGTTTTTCTAAAACTAAACAAATCAAATCCTAAAACAAACAACGTCATACACGTTTTACGGCTATCTATTTCTAAAATAATGAAATTGAACAAAAAGACATACAATTACAGTAATATGTTTTCAAATCTGTTTCTATTTACTTTGTTATTAACAATTTCTAAATTTGGAGACTCTTTATCTAAATTATTGCATTTGGATAAAATATTGATGAAACTTTTAAAACTAACTATTAGAATACTTTTTTTATGCAATAAATATATCTATCATTCTTCCATTGATGATAATAATAAAACATACATTAATCACAGTTGCACTGTGAACCCCTTATTTCATGGTTTGAAAAAAAATTGATCCAACATTCACTAAAATGCTTTAGAGTACCTTATTGTATACTTATTTGAGAAAATATGAATACCATGGGTATTGTAGTGTTTTTTTGGTTTTTTTTTTTTAATATTCAATAATCAAATGGACTATCAGAATCATTTGATGTAATTGCAAATGCTGATATCCTCAAGTATTCAACTTTGTAGGAGAGTTTCAGAATTTGTTGTTATCTAAAAAGAGCAAAAATTGAAATAAAACCAAATTAAAATTTGTGGTTTTTGCCAAATAAAAAAGTAAGATGTCACATAATATAGTTCACTGAATATCAAGCTTATACACTATAAGTATAAAAAATCTATAGTCTAAAATGGGAAATTCTCCATTTAGCCTTTTCATTTTTCTTGTTGTTTCTTTTGGTTAAGAATAGATATATAAGTATGTAAAAATAAAGGACCATAACAAATCAGAATTTTTCAGAAAGTAATTTTTACACATTCAGAAACATGTGTTGAGCACACAGAAATCCTATACTGATATACTGGGGATCTATTATTATTCGTTGGATACCAATTTTCACAGATTTTATAGTTAAAGGTGAACCACGGATTTAAATGTTAAAGGAATTAATAATTTTCTATAAGCTTGTATGCAGACTAATACAAAACCATGAAATCAAATATCCACAAACAAAAATGTTTCTTCAATCCACAAAAATTGGTATCCACACAATTAAATGAATCCACAGTATTGTTTTTTAAAGTTATAAATAATTAATTCTAATTACAGCTTTTATCATAACAATTCAATGTTAAAAGCACATTAATTATAAAATATCTAAAATGCAATAAAAGTCACGAAAGGAAAATAAGAAAGTATAATATCAAATTTATTACCTTCGAATTTGAATTGCATAAAGCACAGGTTCAGACCTTGAGACAAAAATTTGACGTCCCGGATATAAAACCATTTTTAGTTTAATTCCTTAGAACACAATACTATGTTTCTGAACTCACAAAACCATTTGTCCATAATAAACGTTTCATCTACAATTGCCTCAACATATTAAACAATTTGTAACATGTGACAAACGAGAGAACGTCATTAATGGGACTCATCAATATCAACACTTTTTATACTTCATAAATGTTTATTTCTCCTTCCTCAGTACCAACATGCAACTTAAAAAAAAGAATATTGTATTCAATTATCACAAGAAGAATACAATACACCCCATAATCCAATTTTTCTTATGAATGTTTTATAGTGGTAGTATTGTTTTATTGCTAGGTTCTATAGCTATCCATAACTACATCAGAACATATTCACATGACTAGTGCTGGTATATAATAATACTACTATTTTGGGGTCAAAATTATACAGCACTAAAAATGCTGTAAACATTAATTATGAAATTATACATGATTAGCAAGTATTGATTCTGATGACAAACAATTAGATGTTGAAATTAGAAAAAAGGTCCCTAGGCATAAATTTTAAAATATGCATCAATTATGCATTACACTAAGAAAGGTTTAAATATGATCCTCATTCTTTTCAATGATTTACTATGGTGTACTCAGCTGATATGAACACGACTTCAAGTGAAGCTTGGACTGATGTACTGAGTATTCTAATATATGTGAAGCATTATGCTGCAAACTTTAATCTTTGAAGAATGCAAGTTTTTGATGATCATATATGCAAAATTTACAGCTTAATTCTGTTATAGAACATTGATGGAATTTCTTTTCAGCAAAATTTGAAATTGAAGGTCAGTATGTGGTCAAACTTTGTTCAAAATGTTCATTTTCTTAATAGTTCAAAGTAGACAGTGGTAACTAGATAGAAATTGTCTAAAAATTGACATCTATAAAAGGTACAGCAATCTGGTAAGACAATATCTACAAAGGTAAGGTGATGCAAACTTTACATGGTTTTGTTGGATTTTGGATTGCAGAAAACCCAGAGCCATAATGAATTAATATATGTCTGAGGGTAATTTAAGCTAGCTTTCTCTTTGAAGAACATTTATTAAGTATAAAAACTGTCAATTTTGATGTACATATTAATGATATATTTAAAAAAAGTGTGCTGCCAAAAATGTTTGGCCATGGCCAGCATGGCCAACATTTCCCTGAATTTATCTTATACTGGAACAATTTTCACAAAGGCTTTCAATCTTTACTTAAATTAACAGAACCCCAGCTTCATGTCTGTACTTTGAGATTCTAAAATATTTTAAAAGGCTTATTTTCAAACATATGAATAAATCATAAATGCCTTAAGGTAACAGGGACTTAAATGGGAAATCTCATGGACTTTTATAAAACTTTAGAAGAAACAAGAGCATGTGGACTTCATATAAAAATATATGATGATCTTTTACACTTTCTGAGATATAGCAAATTTAATATTGTGTAGAAAGTACAAATGTATAAGATGCAGGTAAACTTAGAAACTTGTCCCAAAAATTTTCTTTGAAAATTATATGTTATTGCCAGAAAAATTTCAATTTTATTGATTTATATATAATAACAGGTCACTGTATTGGTTTTTACTGTATAAATCATTCTATTGTATCTGTAATATCTAAAAAAAATAAATTGAAAAATGAGATTTTTAAGTACAATGCAGTCACAATAAGGCTCTTGCTTTTACCTTTTCTGTGCTTTTAGCTTTTAGCAAAATATTCATTCAACTATTTATATGTTTACACAAAAAAAACTAATTCTGCGACCCCTATAAATTTCAATAGCAAAAACCCACTGAACAGAACTATCATTAGGACCTTGGGAAACAGAAACCAGTTGGCTGTAAAACCCATTTACTTTCACATGACCAGAAATAATAAACGTGTCAAAGCTAAAACTGACAGAAAAAAATAGCTGCATTAAGTCATAAATCTAAAACACTTTTTTACATCTGTCGAAGGCTGCACAATCATCTTTGAGGTGGTCTTTGATTCTAACAGTATTTTTATACGCTTGCAGTAATTTTCAAAATATTAAACAATACAAGAATAGCAGTTAACCATAATTTTGCAATTTTACTGGTAATTTCTTTTGAATGGCATAAGCTAACATCAATAAAAGCACTTTATAAGACAAAACTATTCTCACTCCTTTGATATTTTTTATAGCAATCATGGTGCATTGATTTGATCAGGAAAATTGTGTTATACTTCCGGTACAGAATTTTTATGTTGTAAAATTCACAAGCAATTCTAACTCAAGAAACCTACATAGCTCCTTAGGTAAAAGTGAAATTTGTAACTTTTATGTTGTCAGATGTACATAGTTCCATGAGCATTTAATACTAAGAGGCTGTCAACATGACAGCAAACCAGGCTTTTCTTACATTAATCAGTGTCATTGTTTAAGCAATCAAGGGCCTTCACTCCAGAACAAAAAAGTGGAAATCATCAATATCAAACTTGACCTTCATTTAGTCATTAGCAATAAAATGCTCCGCTGGGGCACAGCTTGATACGACCGCAGAGGTCGAACTCTGAACAGTTGGGGCAAGTATGGACACAACATTCAAGCTTGATACAGCACTGAATTTGGATTGTAATTAAATATTTCACACAGCATAGGTTTCTGACACAGAATGAATGCGGTCTAAGAACTTAAAATTTTTTAACTTACCTATTCAAACCATATCATTAGTATTTGCTTTTATATATAAATCAGAAATAACCAATTGAAAATGGAAAATTTTAAAGAAAAAAATAAAAAATCCCCCCCCCCCCCCCCCCAATTTTTTGAACCCCCTTATGAATCATCACCCCCAAACTCAATCCCAGCCTTCCCTTTGTGGTATGGTACCTTGCAGTACAATTTCAGAGAGATCCATACACTTGAACACAAGTTATTGTCTGGAAACTAGAAAAATGCTTGTTTTTTGGCCCCAAATTCCTAAACGTTTAGGGCAATTACCCCCAAACTCAAACCTAGCTTTCCCTTTGTGATATGGAACCTTGCAGTACAATTTCATAAAGATCCATACACTTACACACAAGTAATTGTCTTAAAACTAGATAAATGCTTGTTTTTTTGCCCTTTTATGGCCCCTAATTCCTAAAAATTTTAGGCAATTACCCCCAAAATCAATCCCAGCCTTCCCTTTGTGGCATGGTACCTTGCAGTACAATTTCAGAGAGATCCATACACTTGAACACAAGTTATTGTCTGGAAACTAGAAAAATGCTTATTTTTGGCCCCTTATTCCTAAACGTTTTGGGCAATTACCCCCAAACTCAATTACAGCTTTCCCTTTGTGATATGGAACCTTGTGGTACAATTTCATAATGATCCATACACTTGAACACAATTTATTGTCATGAAACTAGAAAAATGCTTGTTTTTTGCCCCTTTTTGGCCCCTAATTCCTAAAATTTTGAGGCAATTACCCCCAAAATCAATCCCAACATTCCCTTTGTGATATGGAACATTGTGGTACAATGTCAGAGAGATCCATAAACTTACACACAAGTTATTGTCATGAAACTAGAAAAACGCTTGTTTTTTGGCCCCTTTTTGGCCCCAAATTCCTAAACGTTTAGGGCAATTACCCCTAAACTCAAACCTAGCTTTCCCTTTGTGATATGGAACCTTGCAGTACAATTTCATAAAGATCCATACACTTTCACACAAGTTATTGTCTTGAAACTCGAAAAATGCTTGTTTTTTTGCCCTTTTATGGCCCCTAATTCCTAAAAATTTTAGGCAATTACCCCCAAAATCAATCCCAGCCTTCCCTTTGTGGTATGGTACCTTGCAGTACAATTTCAGAGAGATCCATACACTTGAACACAAGTTATTGTCTGGAAACTAGAAAAATGCTTATTTTTGGCCCCTTATTCCTAAACGTTTTGGGCAATTACCCCCAAACTCAAGTACAGCTTTCCCTTTGTGATATGGAACCTTGTGGTACAATTTCATAAAGATCCATACACTTGAACACAATTTATTGTCATGAAACTAGAAAAATGCTTGTTTTTTGCCCCTTTTTGGCCCCTAATTCCTAAAATTTTGAGGCAATTACCCCCAAAATCAATCCCAGCATTCCCTTTGTGATATGGAACATTGTGGTACAATGTCAGAAAGATCCATAAACTTACACAAAAGTTATTGTCATGAAACTAGAAAAATGCTTGTTTTTTGCCCCTTTTTGGCCCCAAATTCCTAAAATTTGGAGGCAATTACCCCCAAAATCAATCCCAGCATTCCCTTTGTGATATGGAATTTTGTGGTACAATGTCAGAGAGATCCATACACTAACACACAAGTTATGTCTGGAAGTTACAAAAATGCTTATTTTTGGCCCCTTTTTCCTTAACTGTTGGTACCATAACCCCCAAAATCAATCCCCACCTTCCTTTTGTGGTATTGAACCTTATGGTAAAATTTCATAGAGATCCATTCACCTAAACTAAAGTTAGAGTACGAAAACCAATGTGTCTTCGGACGACGACGACGATGACGACGCCAACGTCATACCAATATACGACCTCAAAATTTTTTTGCGGTCGTATAAAAACATATTTAAATCTGAACAGTTCTTAAGTCTTTGTTTGGAAATGACATAAAGTGCCATTTTTCAATCAATCAAAAAATTGGTGCTGACCAAATATGATGTCATTCTGTTCAGTAGTATCAACCAAAAGTTTGAAGTTCATTCAATATATTGAAAAATGCAAACTATCAGCAAACAAGAAGTTGGTATTTGACAAATCCCAAAAGTGCTCACACTTTACAACTGATCACTGTCGAGCTGCTGACCAAATAAGAATTCATTTTGTTTAGTAGTTTCTGAGAAATGAGTGACGAAAATATCTGTTGGACAACATTGGACAACAGACAGACACATGGACAGCCATGATGATTGCAATGTAGCCCCATTTCTAATAGTGGGGGTATAATAAGGTAGAAGACCAACGACAAAAATAAGGTACACTTGCTGGATACATATCATAGAGACAAAGGATAAGCAGAGTAACTAATGTCAATACCTCTCAGGGTGTCAATTGTAATATATCAGAAACATAGCTGTTGAAGCATCTGTAATTGTTTCATTTAGATAAATACTGCACTGCAGTTAAATTCATATAATGCAATCAACCAGAATGTATCACGGGATGAAACTCATTACAGGTGTGAAAAAAGAATTTCGGCATATGTTATTATGTTTGTAACATCAGTCCATGTCACATCATGAAAACATGATATGGAAAATAACCATCGAGACCAATCACCATGTTATACGGGACAAGATCAATACTAAATAGATAGTTCCAATGGTAATTTGCCCCGCTCGATTACTGTTCCTTCAGCAATTATATGTACATTATCCATTTATCATTTATGAAATAAAACTTCCAATAACACCACTTAAACTTATTAAACTGTTACCAATGATTTATTATTCAAAAGGAACTGCAATAAGCTTGCATCCAATCAACTATTTACTGGTTACTGGATGGCACAAAATGGTCAACTAGGAAGTTTCTAATATAAAAAAAACCCACGTTCTGTTACCGGTTTAGTACCATTATTATTAAAGAACAGTACCAGTATGTACAATCATTTGATCAGATTCATATCATCTTCTCATTTATATGTTCAAATTGGTAACTTTTAATGTTTAATTTTTTATTTACTTTGATTGCCTTATATTTAGACAACATCAGAAGTTATTAACCAGTATGTTATAGCTACACAACATATTTAATTTACATCTTAATATTATATATAAATATTAAAAAAAAAAAAATGATTGTAGAAACTTAAAGATGTTTGCTTTTATAACATGTGTGAAAGATTATTTGTACCTCAAAATGACAGTAAAAAAATATCTACAATTGTAAGCAAATAAACAATCGCATAGTGTGTGCAATTTTTTTGTGTCAAGCAAGACAGAAAAAATCAACAGGACAATAGATCTTTTTTATGTTAAATAAGAACTGAAAAGTCTGGATCATATCAAGTAATAGTTTTCTCCTATTATATGAAAGTTTACTCCTTTAATATGTAAATCCCAAGAGTTTACAATTATCATTAAGACAATAACAGGACAACATTTTCTAATTGGATTAAATCAGATATGATTCATCCATGACAGCTGACATTTGTCTTTTTACTCCAGAGATCTATTTTTATCTACATTTTAATGCCAAATATTCACCACATCTCTCCCCAGAGTGAACAACTGTTGAAGTTATTCATTTTCTCCCTGATTTCTATCGAAAATATATAATATATTTGAGGAAACAATTTCTGTAAATTACCAATACAATATTAGTTTGACACAGAATATATATAAGTATTATCACTTGAAGAAATTAAGCCATCATGAGCAAATTAACAATATCAGTATCATCTTATAGAGGCTAGCTAGCCTAATTATTTAAAACAAGATGACATACACAGTACTGTGATCATGAAACCCTGGCTGTAAGTATTGGGTAAACTGGAAGTTGATGAGCAATAAATGATAAAATGCATCACACAGTAAACCATAGAAGTTGATGAGCAATAAATGATCAAATGCATCACACTGTAAACCATAGAAGTTGATGAGCAATGAATGATCAAATGCATCACACTGTAAACCATAGAAGTTGATGAGCAATGAATGATCAAATGCATCACATGGTAAACCATAGAAGTTGATGAGCAATGAATGATCAAATGCATCACACAGTAAACCATAGAAGTTGATGAGCAATGAATTATCAAATGCATCACACTGTAAACCACAGAAGTTGATGAACAATGAATGATCAAATGCATCACATAGTAAACCATAGAAGTTGATAAGCAATGAATGATAAAATGCATCACACAGTAAACCATAGAAGTTGATGAGCAATGAATGATCAAATGCATCACATGGTAAACCATAGAAGTTGATGAGCAATGAATGATCAAATGCATCACATGGTAAACCATAGAAGTTGATGAGCAATGAATTATCAAATGCATCACACTGTAAACCACAGAAGTTGATGAACAATGAATGATCAAATGCATCACATAGTAAACCATAGAAGTTGATGAGCAATGAATGATCAAATGCATCACACAGTAAACCATAGAAGTTGATGAGCAATAAATGATCAAATGTATCACACTGTAAACCATAGAAGTTAATAAGCAATGAATGATCAAATGCATCACACTGTAAACCATAGAAGTTGATGAGCAATGAATGATCAAATGCATCACACTGTAAACCATAGAAGTTGATGAGCAATGAATGATCAAATGCATCACATGGTAAACCATAGAAGTTGATGAGCAATGAATGTTAAAATGCATCACACAGTAAACCATACTAAAATGATGCTTGATACAAAATTCAGTTAGTCTCTTGATCAGAGTTCCTAAGAAAAATGTAGTGAAAATTCCATACATGGCCATTATGTGTAAGAATTATTTGTGAACCTAGATGATGAGTGGTGGATGTAAAAATAGCATGTTCAAATTAAGCCTGATAACAAATTTTAGGAAGCTCTGATTTGTATGAGAAGGGTATCAAATAAACTAGAGATATGTCTCGCCTGTCTGCGGAATATTAAAAACAAGAGTGCACACGCTGAAATGTCTCGCCTTCTTTACTAATCATTGATATTATGTTGATAGTCCTAAATATAAAGCTTTATTACAACTGTCACATAAACTTAACATTAACCAAGTAAACTAAACATTGACCAATGAACCATGAAAATGAGGTCAAGGTCAGATGAACCATGCTGGGCAGGCATGTACAGCTAACAATTCTTCCATACAACAAATATAGTTGACCTATTGCTTATAATTTAAGAAAAACAGACCAAAACACAAAAACTTAACACTGAGCAATGAACCTTGAAAATGAGGTCAAGGTCAAACAAAACCTGCATGACTGACAAATAGATCATAAAATATTTCCATGCACCAAATATAGTTGAACTATTGCATATAGTATAAGAAAAAAAGACCAAAACTCAAAAAACTTAACTTTGACCACTGAACCATGAAAATGAGGTCAAGGTCAGATGACACCTGCCCGCTAGACATGTACACCTTACAATCATTCCATACACCAAATATAGTAGACCTATGGCATACAGTATAAGAAAAACAGACCAAAACACAAAAACTTAACTATAACCACTGAACCATGAAAATGAGGTCAAGGTCAGATGACACCTGCCAGTTGGACATGTACACCTTACAGTCCTTCCATACACCGAATATACTAGACCTATTGCTTATAGTATCTGAGATATGGACTTGACCACGAAAACTTAACCTTGTTCACTGATCCATGAAATGAGGTCGAGGTCAAGTGAAAACTGTCTGATGGGCATGAGGACCTTGCAAGGTACGCACATACCAAATATAGTTGAACTATTGCATATAGTATTAGAAAAAAAGACCAAAACTCAAAAACTTAACTTTGACCACTTAACCATGAAAATGAGGTCAAGGTCAGATGACACCTGCCCGCTAGACATGTATACCTTACAATCATTCCATACACCAAATATAGTAGACCTATGGCATACAGTATAAGAAAAACAGACTAAAACACAAAAACTTAACTATAACCACTGAACCATGAAAATGAGGTCAAGGTCAGATGACACCTGCCAGTTGGACATGTACACCTTACAGTCCTTCCATACACCGAATATACTAGCCCTATTGCTTATAGTATCTGAGATATGGACTTGACCACCAAAACTTAACCTTGTTCACTGATCCATGAAATGAGGTCGAGGTCAAGTGAAAACTGTCTGACGGGCATGAGGACCTTGCAAGGTACGCACATACCAAATATAGTTATCCTATTACTTATTATAAGAGAGAATCTAACATTACAAAAAATCTTAACTTTTTTTTCAAGTAGTCACTGAACCATGAAAATGAGGTCAAGGATATTGGACATGTGACTGACGGAAACTTCGTAACATGAGGCATCCATATACAAAGTATGAAGCATCCAGACCTTCCACCTTCTAAAATATAAAGCTTTTAAGAAGTTAGCTAACGCCGCCGCCGCCGCCGGATCACTATCCCTATATCGAGCTTTCTGCGACAAAAGTCGCAGGCTCGACAAAAAACCAAACCAATCTGATGGACAGCAACATTGCTAATTCATTCAAATTCACTGAACCATGACCTAGGAGGCAGAGCCTCGAAATAGTTGTCGACTGAAATGTACTGATAGTAATGCAACTTTATAGAAAACATCATTGATCTATCATTCAAAATCACTGGACCATGACCCAGGAAACAGAACCTCGAAATAGATGTCAAACTGAAATGTTCTGATAGTAATGCAACTTTATAGAAAATATCATTGATCTATCACAAGTAGTTCCTATCAAACTGATTTAAGCAGAAAACTTTACATTGAAAAATGCTTATTAATTCAAAGTCACTAGACCATGAACTAGGGGAAGGGCCTCGAAATAGTCGTCAAACTGATCTGTACTGATAGTAATGCAACTTTAGAAAAATATCAATGATCTATCACAAGCAGTTACTGCAGCTGGT